AGTACGAGGCGGGCGGCAGGTCACGTGTCAGTTTAATCCACAATGAAAACAAATCAAACGTCCTTTCAGGTTTAATCAGGGGTGGAGTGCCTTCAGCAAAGTTGTCCTCAAAAATTATTGATGGAATATTTACCAATTTTCTCATGGATATCCAATTTAGTGTAAAAATAAATAAATAAATAAAATAATAGGAGGACTTCACCTTTTGTCACAGTTTTGAATTGAGCAATTTGACCTTAGACAACAACTGATCTTTTTTTTACTGGAAACAAATTTCGTATCATAATTTTCAGAATATAATACATCAGTGTGGAATAATAGATAGACCTAAAGCCTGTTTAACAGAACACCTTATTTTGTTGATGAATGTGAAATGCTTGGATGAAATATAGGCCGGTTCACATTTTATTTACTTCAATGGAAACACTTTATGGAGGATCAACTCTGCCATATTTAAAAATAAATACAGAAATAAATAAATACTCCATAAAAAATAAGCATACAATTAATTGCCCCAAAGTGCAATAAACAAATACATTTAGGTAGAAATTAAATTATACAGTGAGACATAAATGTATATATCTCTTTTAATTAGCTTCTTTGTTTGTCCCCTTTGTAATAATTACTTTATTTATTTATTGTCCGTTATAATATTCAACTTTATTTATTTATTACCTATTTTTTAAGTATTTATTTAAGTGCATGTTTATAATATTTTAGTTTGTTTTATTCTGCTTATGTTTTTTTTTTACCCTCTTTATTTTTCTTCAACGCTATTTATTTCTACCTGTCGTTTTTACATTTCCGTATGCATTTCTGTCTCACTATGCAAATGAGGAGGGGTGTGTCTTAGAGAGTCCAGTAGTAAATAAATAAAATATTTCCTTCAAAGAAAAATCACGTCTTGAAAAAAAAATGGAGAATTGTTGTGATGAATCACGGCAGCGCAGCCAGAATTCAGCTAGAGGCTCTTTAAAAAAGGAATTTATTAAACAAAAAACAGAGCAATACCAAAAAGGACAGAAGAATCAAAAATTCAGCCAAGCTTGGATTGTTAAAGTGGGAAAAGCAAAAACCAAAACAATAAAAACATGCAAAGCACAACAAAAAAATTTAAACAAAAGAAAAACACAATCATGTTTTCCCCTAGGAATGTAGTGTTGGTGCGTGCAACGCGAAGTCACAGTGGCACGCATAAGCGGCCGTGGCCTGTGGGCCGGTTCTAATGGTAATTAAATATCATCCAGGGGGCTGTGAATAAACAGTTCGATCCAGATCCAGCCCGCGGGCCTTGACTTTGACATATGTGGTTTACAGTATCAGTTATGTTTCAAATGCCAAATCTTTTGTACAGAGATTGAATATTAAAAGCAACCCCCAAATTTCATTAGGCCAGACTAGAAATTGTATATTCTAATATTTCGGCTAGACTTTGACAACTCTGTACCCGTATTGTGTTTTTTTTCTTTCAAATTATCAATATAACAACTAATAGTTAATTTGTCACATATTATTTTACCTTTTTTTTATTCTATTAAAAAAATAGAATAGACTTTGGGAACTGTGGTTTGAGATGTAGCATTAGAACCTGGAACATATTTTCTTTGATTGCACAACTGTGTAGATATCTAAGGAAAATGCCTTAGATTTTGATGTTTTCGAAATTTTCAAACCACACATTTTTAAATCCGGACAGAAGTTCCAGGGACCAATAATTTTAATTAAATTTAGTTTATTTATATAGTGCCAATTCACAACATGTCCTCTCAACACATGTCCTCTCAAGGCAATTTACAGATACAATTTAACTAGATCATACAGTCAGATTGATTCAAAGTTTTATATCTAAAGAAAACTAGTTGATGGCATCGAATCATTGACTCGAAGGCAATCCCTCACACCAAGCATGCTTGTAGCGACAGTGAAGAGGAAAAACTCCCTTTTAACAGGAAGAAACCTCCAGCAGAACCAGGCTCAGTGTACGTGGCTATCTGCCGAGGCCACCTGGGGTTTAAGGAGACAGAAGCAGACATAAAGAAAGATGGCCCCGTCAGAGAAACAGAACTACACTGAAAACATAGGCTGAGCTCATACATTTATAAGCAAAGGTGTTGACGACACAAGCACAGCTGATATTTCTCTTCAGGATGGTGTCACATCAAAACAGGAACAGAAGAGGCAGAGCTTAGAGATAGAATGAAGCAGAATGATGATAAAGGGGTCCCTATGTCCTCCAGAAGTCTAAGCCTATAGCAGCATAACTATAAAGATAGCTCAGGATAACCTGAGCCTCTCTATCTATAAGCTTTATCAAAAAGGAAAGTTTTAAGCCTAGCCTTAAAATTAGACAGGGTGTCTGCCTCACAGACTAAAACTGGTAGTTGGTTCCACAGGAGAGGAGCCTTATAACTAAACGATCTGCCTCCCATTCTATTATCATCTATCATATCTCTGATATAAGATGGAGCTTGGCCATTTAAGGCTTTATATTTGAGAAGGAGGATTTTAAATTCGATTCTGGATTTAACAAGAAGCCAATGAAGAGAAGCCAGGATAGGAGAGATATTATATCTCTTTTTAATTTTCATCAGAATTCTGGCTGTAGCATTTTGGACTACTTTTAACTACAGTTTGTGGGCTTCCTGATTGTAAAGAATTACAAAAGTCCAGCCTTGAAGTAACAAATGCATTGACTAGTTTCTCAGCATCACCCCTGGACAGGATATTTCTATTTTTTGCAATATTCTGCAGAAGAAAGAAGGACATTCTAGAAACCTCTTTGATATGGGATTTAAATGACAGGTCCTGATCAAAAATAACACCAAGATTTTTTTACTTATCTGAAATCAGTTTAATCCCATCCAGATGAAGTGACTGACTAATCAGCTTATTTCTCAAAAATTCTCAAAGGTAATAAAGACTTTCCCAACCAGTCAAACTATACTCATTCTCAATTTCATTACATGTAAACTAGATTAGGCCTTCCCAGAGAGTCTTTATACATTTAGGGAATCTCACTGTGAATCACTGCCATCCATACCATCACTTGTATCCTCCTCTTTCCCACCAATTTTTCTCTGATCCTCCCCCACAACCATCTCTGTGGTTTTCCTCTTCCCTGGTAAATTGATATTAATATCCTATGTCCCACATAGCAACCATATTCAAACTATCTCAGCCTCACCTCTTCAGTCTCATCTGTTAATCACTCACTTTGCTGTGACCATCTGATATACTCATTATTGTGGTTGCACACAATAAAAAAAATAACTCCAGGTCTGATCTTTGCTGTTTGGTGGTGTAGTAATAGCCTATAGTACAATTAAATAGAGACATCTACTGCTCAAAGTATTGCATTGCATGCTGTGAGGGTCACACATGCTTCGCACAGTGATTAATAAATGACTTACAATAACTAATTTGGGACAGCAAGTACGTAACCTAATTATGTTAGATCCTAATCCACATAATTTTATGTAAAAATAACTATGTTGCAATAGCAAACATTGATTAGTAATTAAATCCTTAATTTCTAATTATATAGAAACCTTCTCATGTGAAACATCAGAAAGTGCAGCACAAGAATAAAATAAATGATAAAAATAAAATAATTCAGCAAAAGTCTGCTCTATTCAGATTCATAAAAAGTGTTTCTATTTACATTTTTGTTGTGTTTAATATAAAGGATCTGAACTTAAAGATGCTGCTTAGGTAATAAAAACCACAACTAACAACATTTTAAATGTAAGTCTCCAGATAAGTTCTGTCAAAACAACCACAGTTTTGACAATTTCCGTTACAAAGACCGATAAAATCATAGAAAGGCCACATGCTGCCTGATAACTGGAGCTTTGATCATTTGTTGGCACTTTGAGCACAGTTTCCATCGTAATGTTAGTAATCTTCATATATTTATTTAGTTTCCAAGGAACATTGGTTAGATTAAGAGCAGCGCAATTCAATGTCATCATATCCTGTCATCATATATTTAATAAAGCACATTTTTTACTATCACCTAAAGGGTTTAGATCTAATAAAAAGAGGATTGGGGCAATAACAGAAGACAGTTTGAAAACAGTTTAAAACTAAAGAAGTCCTTCAGTCTATTGATCAAAATATCATGATGGACAGTGTTAAATGTAGAAGTAGGATCTAACATAATCAAAAGAGTGTAGCCTTCAGAATCAGCCATGATCAACAAAATTAATAAGGCAGTTTAAAAAAGAGCATTTTACCAAAAAAATTATTGCAATAAATCCATTACAACACTGGCCTTCATAAAACTCTAAAACTAGTTAATTGTTCAGTGATTAAAAAAGAAAAAGAAAAAGGTAATTTAGGGAATGGCCTGTCGCTATTGGGAGAGTATAATCTAAATCAAAGGACTAAGGACAACCTTTTAAGTACTAGACATTGTGCCAGATAAAAGAGATGGGAACCTTCCACAAAGTAGTTTACAAACTCTTTACAATATTGATTATAGATTTAAAAAGCAAGAGTGGCAAGAGAAACAGGTGATCCAATGTTCTTTCTTTATTGTGTCAAAAAAAAACTTTAAACTTCTTCACTTTGGCAGCTAGGAGGCTATATATTGCAGCTTTTAGCAAGAGGACAGTTTCAATCTTCCAGTCACATCCTAATATCAAAATATTAACTTTAACTTTTCCTAAAGGCCTCCAGTCTCACCCCACTTTCTCCTTATAATGTGCATTTCATCTGTACCAAAGAAGAGTGTTCACTGTGGACTATGTTCATTTTTACAGTTGCTATTACCATGCAGAGGGTAATAAAAGTAAAAAAAAAATCATAAAAATCATTATTCATCTTTGAATTGGAGAAAAGACAGGTCATATTACACATGCATTAAAATATCTACAGAAATGGTCACTTATTAATATGTCCTCCATTAAGATATTTGTATTTTTTAGGTCAGAGGAAAGGAGGTCCAGGATATGGATTTTCTCATCACTCTGATGTGTGATATAAAAAGTTGTTAAATGATTAGGCCAAATTCTTCGAAGCATCATCAATGTGGAGATTAAAATCTGCAAGTAAAACATTTTCTAGTGTGGTGAAAGTCATTAAATAATTAGATAAAATGGGTTGGCTGCAGCAATTAGATGTGATCTAGCCATGAAGGTTTGGAAATTGGCCCCAAATAGGAGCTTTCTTTGAATCTCATAACATATTTAAGAAACAGCAGGAAATATTTAATAAAGAAACATTAATCCTTACTCATATGACATTAGATATTTATATTAATGCGTTACTAAATTACAACAGAATAGATGCATCACATATACATCTCAGCAATTTTACACAAAACAAAAGGCTGTGTGGAAGGAGATAAGCTTGTTTACAGGCTTGCCTAAAATCACTTAAAACATTGGTGAGATGTGTCATGGTCTGAAGAAAGCATTTGGTTTTTGCTCAATGCATATTCTCGATACATAAGCAAACTTAACATTACCAAAGGATCACGATACTTAGTATGGAATAAGCAGTGATAGCCTCAGGCTATGGGGTTACTGTTTTTAATGGGAACAAGGGTATTTTACAAAGTGGAAGAAATGAGTGACAGTACCGACTACCAGTCATTCTTGAACGAAACATTCCACTGGAAAGCTGAAAACGAGGACTAGCATCAAAAATGCCTTAAGCAAAAGGTTGTTCTGTACGTTTTGGTGCAGCCAGGGCAAAGCAAGAAACAAACTTTCCATTACTTTGGCTGTAATATTTAGCAATTTGCAGTAGGATTTTATGAGCTTTTCTTTTAACCTCAAAGCTTGGTTAGCTGTACAGATGTTGGTGTAGATAACAAACTTACATCCAAAACTCAAGCAGGAAGTGACATTAAAAAAACCAAAACCATTTCTTATCATATAGACCTAAGAGCATAGCCTGCACTCTGTCTTAACATTATTTGCAGGGCTCAGATGGTATACGGCTTTCAATCAGTTATTATACAATGTCCTAATACTGCTCCTCTTCCTCTTTCAGCGTTAGGATTTATGGTCAAAAATGCAATTCTCTAAAAGTGTCACCTAAAAAAAAAAAGTAAATACTGAAGTGAGAGAAACAAAACAAACAAAAAGATTTTCTTCTTAGAATTTGTTATCACCTCTTCATATTCTGCTTTTTAACACTGTTTTGCTGTTGAAGTTGCATTTCTTCTTTTCCTTATCAATAAAAGTACAAGTTAACATTATTAAACACGGCTGACGAGGGTGAAATAAATAAATTTCCCAAGTTACACATGATTATTTACATATAATATATTTACCTTAGCATCAGGTACAGAGTACTTCCAACAAGAGGAAGCAGTGACAAAAAGGCCAGTTTTGTAACATTCATAATTATCATGACGATGGATATATCTGCTTCTGTTGAAAGATAAATACAAAATAATTCACTGATTTGGTTTTAAAGTCTCCCTAATTTATAGAAGCTATCTTTACACAGGCCTACCGTTGACAGTAAGAGCCTTCAGAGGTGAGCCGATATTCTGGGGGGTTTTGACGGCACAGGAGTAGTTTCCTGCATCCAGAAGTAGGACTGGATGTAGAATAAGATGCTTGTTGTGCTTCGTACTCTGGCTGAGCGGTTGTTCATTAAAGAACCACAGGTAGGTTGTTTTCTCTGACAGGGGACAACTGGTACTGCAGGTCAGCGTGACTCTCTGACCTTCCTTCACCACATCAGAGGGAATTATGGTCACTTTCAGACCTGAAACATGTTGGGACAAGGAAGGTTAACATGAATCAACTGATGCAATAGCAAACCTTGTATGTTAGTTTATCATAGTGTAATATCTCATAGTTACAAGTACATTGACAAAGCAACAATAGCCCTCATAATTTTTTATCATTGCCACAAAGAAGAGTTTTCTCTGATACAAGATATAAAATATTACCATGAAAAGGAAAGACTATGATGCAGCTTTTCACATTTTTACTAATATAAACCTGAAATATGTGAGAAGCATTATACCTCCTTTCCCTTCAGGGATTAATAAAGTGTAATTGAATTGATTGAATTTAGTGTGATACAGCTAAATAACATCAAGTGTAGCCAATCTTTTATCAGTGTGTATTTTAACATCATCTGTTCTATGAAGGCATCAGAGGATTATTAATGCATTCATAAAGACCTAAGAGCACTGCAAGCAAGGTCAGGGAAGTTCTGGAGAAGCTTAGAGCAGGTTTCCTTTGAATATTCACAGAGAATTGCTCAATCTGCTATTCTGAAATGAAGAGACTATAACCCAACTACTATAACCACGTCTTACCCGTCTTCCTAAAATAACAGGTCATAAGAAGCATTGGATTCATGCAGAGTGGGTAGACAACTTTAAGTGGGGCACTGCTCAAGTCTGACATTTAAAGAAGAGTAGCAAGAAAAACAACATTATTGGGAAAAAAAAAGTCACCTGAGGATGTCCTCTGAAAACAGATAAGGTGCTATGCTCAGATCAACATACAGAACATAAAAGGTGTGGAAAATTAATACAATATGTTATCCTAAATAAACGATCCAAGCAGTGACCAATTAATATTTTCCCTCATCGAAGATAGAAAAGCGGATCAGAGCTGATGAGAAGATGGCTGAAGCTAAATATTAGGGAATTCCAGAAATAATGTAAGTCTTTTAAAGGGCGCAAAACAGTTGAGACTAATGAGAGCCTCTTTATGATTCAATACAGTCACTTCTGGGGTTCCTCAAGGTTTGGTCCTTGGCTCCAATCTTTTTATCCTCTACATTCTTCCTTTGAAAATGCACAGTAACCACCTGAGGAGTTAATCACCTGGTTAAGCGAACTGGCTGAAGGAAATCAATGCAGGGGTTTTTACTCTCTGGATCTGGAACTGACTTTAACTTAATAGTTTAAAAACAGAAGCTACCCTGGTTGGCACTCACCGTCGACTTCAGTCATTCACTACAACCTTTATAACATTTTTGCAAAATTTTACACTCTCCTCTTCTGTTACCATTCATTCTCTATGGATTGACCCTCAGATTTCATTTAACACCCACATACTACACCTCTGCAAAACATCCTTTTTCATTAGAAAAAACATTGCAACCCCTTATCCATCCTTCTTTATATCACTCAGTCAGATGCAGAAAAAAAAACTATTTATGCCTTCATCTTTTCCACATTGAAACATTGCACCTCCCTGCTGTTTGGTATTTTTTAATGAAAAACTAAATAAACTATAGCTTGTCCAAAACAGTACTGCTTAAACTACCTGAAAAACATTATCATATCAATCTGGTTTTGCACTTTCTCAGGCTTCCCTTCGGTACTTAAATTCAACACAAGAACTGTCTCCTTACTCACTAACTGGAGTACACCTGATTTTATGAAGGACTTATAGCCTGTGCAGACTAGAAGGTCTACTATAAAGCTGAAGAAGTCCTTTGTAACCACTCTCCTTGATCGGAAACAAGGAAATCTCCACAGCTGCCACTGACTTGTTAAACGAGTTTCTCAAATTTTAAAAAAACCAGTGTTGAGTCTTTAAGAAAACTGAAACTTCAAACTTCCAACTGAAAATATATATATTTTTTCAAGGTTTCATGACTGCGTTTCTATCCTCTGCCTTTAGTTTTTAATATTGCCATGTTTACCGATACTTCTAACAACAGCTTTATAGCAATTAAACATATTTTTTGCATAAGTGCATAATAAATAACATTTATTTTAAACTAGAATGACTGAAAGCGCAAAGCCAATTTCTTCTATGACCAATTAAAACAGTTTCGTTGCATTTCTCATGAAATTCCTGTCGGACACTTCACTTGGAGTTTGAAGCTACATTCGGGGCAAAATGTGAAAACATTTACACTGAGAAAAATAATGCAACCGTTTTTGGCATTTACTTAATCACATTTAGTTACTTTAACACAATTATGCATGTTCATAGGGTAGGACATAAATAATTGTGTTAAAGTAACTAAAAATGATTATATGATTAAATACATTCCAAAAGCAGTTGCATAATTTTTTTCAGTGTAAGGTGTGGCTTTGTGTATCACTGTGTTATTTAACCTAAAGTCTTTTTTGGGTGTCACACAAAACAATCAGAAATTCAATTTAAGGTAGTACCTGTAACCACCAGGATCACTCCCAGCGACTCAGGCGGTTTACAAATCTCGTCTTTATTGGAACTGAACATATATTCTCCCGAGTCATTCTTCCTCAGGTCATTAATTGTGAGCGTATGTTGATTTCCATTTATGCTGTGGTACGCTACACGGCCTCCAGCTTTAATTTCGGTGATATGGGGCTTTTCCTCCATGTTTCTCTTTAGTTTATACCATGTTTCATGACCGGAATCGTAGGGGGGGTTTGTGTATTTTCTGGAAATGTTTACAGATGATTCTTCAAGCCTGCAGAACCTGTTGCCGATATAATTCATGTGTGCACAGTTATTGTCAGTGCCTGAAAAAAAGCATAAAAACACTCAGTAATAGCAACTCAAAATCCTGTTGGCAAGATACAATGTAGAAGTACGTATAATGCTTACAGATCTGATCAGAGTGCAGGTATTCATGGACACCACAGGACATGTAGCCGGTATATTTAAAGACTAAGATGCCCTGACTCATGCAGTCTAGGACATTTCCCTTCCAGTACCACAAAAAGGTGGTGCTAGAGTCAGCGGCTGGGCAGCTTGTGTTACAGGTAAGTCTAACAGAGTCATTCCCTGTGGTCAGGTCAACATTTACTTCTGTCAGAAGAGAATAAAAATTGGTGTTAGGGTTAGGGTTATCTTTTCATTACATTTTGAATAGATGGTGTGTCTTTGTGGGAAAATGTCACCTTTAGGATACATGATGAAGCAGGGCTCCTCTGCTGATTTCAGCTTCCTGGGACACACCTCCACATTTGGATATCTCACACGAAAGCAGTTTTGATTGAGAAAGTCTGAACAGAAGTGAACAAAAGATAATTTCCGAATTGGAGTTTGGTTCATTTGTTGGTTTCCTGAATAAGTTGATTTCTAAATGATGTTTTTTGATCCCACTCACCCACTGAGACCTCAGGAGATCTCAGATCCTCATAGCCTTTGATGGCACAGGAGTATCTGACTGCCTGATCACTGCTGACCAGTTCTCGGTACCAGTGGGACCAGTCCTCATAGAGAAACTCTCTGTTCTGGTACCAAATGAAGGCCTCAGGGCTTTCGGTCAGAGGACAGCTGGTTGTGCACATCAGAGTAACTTTCTGCCCCTCTGTGGCAGGAAACACCTTTACCTGAAGGTCTACAAAGAGAGATGTATTTATTTTTTTCAGATGATCAAAGAAATCTGAACATCAGACTAAGAATCTGATCGATCAAAAGGGAATTTGGAAATTATTCAAGGTGGAACACTTTTTCCATATTTAATTAGGTTTCAGACTTTTTCCAAAGTGTATTAAATTGATCTCTTTCCTCAATAATACCATATTATCTCAATGGGATTTTGTAAATAGCTGCAGTTTTCTAAAAACCAGAAAACTGGCGTGCAGCTGGCACAGTGGTTAGCGCGCACGACCCATGTCCATTGCCACATGTCTCTCCCCCACTCTCATACCCCTTTTCCTGTCAGCCTACTGTTGAAAAAACTAGCCTCTAGTGCTGCAAAAACTATAAAAAAAAAACAAATTAAAAACCCCAGAAAACTAAGATATCATAAATAAAATAAAAAACTTAAAAGGGAGTAGAGGTGCACACCGTTTCCCCTGATAAACACTGAGATTCTGCAGCTTAAATGTTTCCGACTGTAGTAGATTAAGGGGTGGCTTTCATCGGGCTACTCTTATTCAGACCTGTCTGAAGGACTGCTGCACAAATTGTTTCTTGGTGCTTCTTCCATTTAGGAATGATGAGGCCACTGTGTTCACTGAGACCTTAGAAGCTGCAGAATTGTTTTTTCTATATCTTTTTCCAGACCATATAAGGTCTTGGTCTTGGTCTCTGTTGGTGTGTTCTTGAATACAACACCAGTTTAAATTAATAGGGTATCTTGTGAAGAATTTTAAGAGAAGAGGTTAGTTTCATAAAATTGGAATAAGGCTGAAACAAAACCAAATGTAAAAAGTGTTTAGCGCTGTAAATATTGTTGGATGACACAAAATTATAAATACACAATAACACAAACAACCATGTACTGACACACAATCTCCAAAAGGAAATTTAGAAAGGCTAATTATGCTTAGTCATGTTTTTTTTAAACATGTAAACTACATGCAGAGGACTGAAAGAGGAGGATTTAACCCTAAGGAATTGTTTCTTTGTTTTAGTATATGTAAACATCTGGTCTCAATGTTATCTATATGACTATAATGCAAATAGCATTTCAGTTTGGGTCGATATTATAGCAAGAGCTCCCCTTCTGTACCTGTGACATGTATCTCTGTTCTTTGTTTCCAGCACTCTTCAGCTGTTTTGCTGGATTCTTGGCAGCAGTAGGAATGATTATCACTCTTTTGTACATCTGTGATGATCAGCGTATTGTCTTCACTTATGTTGTAGTTTGCAGTCGCAGTTTCGGGCAGTTCTTCCTTAACAAACGTGTTGTTGTTTTTTACAGTGTGCCAGCTCTTAGGAACTGATGAGTTTTCCACAAAGCAGGTCAGATTCACAGTTGAACCTTTCAGGACACAAATACGCATTTCTTTTCCCAGACCCCCTTTAAAAGATGCACATCAACAACTCATGTTAACTACAGAAAGTATCTTTATCTCAATTACAGAACACAAACTCTGTTTCAGACCTGAGAGGCCGAGGAGAAAGGCCAAAACAATCCATTCCGCTTTAAGAAAAAACATGGCCTGAGCATTCCTTTAGTTTCTAATGAGGAAAAATAAATAATTAATAAGAGGAATATATAATTCAAATACCTATGTTGTTGATATTGATATAGCAAATATGAAATGTAACTCACCAGTGGCTGACAGCTGCAGTCTAGTGAGATCTGGTTGGTGTGAAACAGATGAAACCATGCAGGAAATATCATCCTTCCGTTTTAATGCTCTTAGATAAAGTTTGAGCTACCTCCCTTGTGGTGATGTTACGTTGAAAATCCTGATTACATCTGAAATTTGTTAGTCATTTTTTGTCCTGCGAGAAATAAAGATATAACGGTGGCAAAATGTGTCATTAGGAAACTAAAGAAACATTTTTTTTGTTGGTCTATTAGATAGGCTTTTCCATTAGAGCTGCACAAATCAAGTTACATTATAAAATATTTTTTTTAAAAACTCATATATTTCACAAACAGGAGCAAAAAAAGTGATGAAAAAAGTATGATGTGAAACCAGCAGAACACTTTTGCGCAGCAAAAGACAGCACTCATCTTTATAAACTTACAGTTTTTTTTTCAAAACTAAGTGTAGCTCTGTGCAACCACAGCCTTGTGGCTTTTTTTAATAAATATATATATAGCTAATTCCATGTTTCAGTTATGGTCTCTCATTAGACAGCACCAATGAATCTAAGACTGTTTCTAAGTAAATATAAAATTCTATACAATTCAATTTTCAATTCAATTTCAATTCTGTTTATTTATATAGCACCAAATTTACAACACATGTCATCTCAAGGCACTTTACAGTTCAGCCTGCATTATACAATGCTTGGATTTTAACAGAGACCATAAAATACTTGTTTATAATTTCTAAACAAAAAAATTGTGTTTTCATTAGCTTTATCTTTACAGAAATAAAGAATTAGAGGAATCAGTCTGTGAGGAATAAAAATGTTTGAATATCCTTAAAATGTTATTTAATTTCCGTAATTCTACTTGAACAGAGAAAACAAATTAAACAGGTTTATGACAGACAGGGCCATAAATCCTGATCTATTTAAGCTATTTGTAATAATTTCATTGTATTGAAACTGGAAAACTCTGTATGCATCTTCCCTCTTGATGCTGCAATCAACAGCCGGATGTGACATTTTAAACTGATCATTGTGGCAAAACAGGGGTTAATATAAATCAATCAATAGATAAATAGATAAACTGTGCCATCTACCCATTTTGATGTATGTTTGAAAAATGAACTTGAATGTGGAAGACATTAAAATTTACCCTTTTTCTAGAAAACATGGCTTTGATTGAGAAACATTTTAATGACAAAGACAAACAAATTTTAACAAGTTATGCTTTCAAACATAGAATAATTTATTTCTACACCAATGTGTGTTAACTAGCACCATTTGGAGCCATTTACTGCCAGCTTAAATATTCCAAGAACTCAGCGTTCCAGAGCTTTAGGGTTACTTTCTAAATTTCATCAACTCTAAAGTGACGAGAGGTGAGGAGTAACTTGTTGTATTTACCTCATTTATCTAAGCATATTTATCTTCTTTTTGAAGTAGTTTATATTTCCAGTTCTAGTATTGTAAGTATTGTTACTCTTATTAATATTTTGGCTACCCTAGAAATCATGACTAACTTCAGTGACTGAAGTACCAGCTTATTTTAAAGAAAAAATGAGTATGACCCTTAGAAACTTAAGAGTTCTACCGCTAGGGTACTATACCCTGTTCTAGCAAACATGCATCACCTACTATAACACTGACCTTAGACCTGAGTCATACTGTGATTCACCAAGCATATAAATTTGAAAAGTAATTATAATTTAAAATATAAATTATTAATAATATAATAATTTTACACAATAAATAAATGAATGCAAGTAAAGTTGCCAAATCCTGTGAAAAATCAATGAAACAGGAAGATGAATGAATATTTTTACTAGGCAATAAAATTAACAATAAAGGCTAATTTCTGCCACAAATGCATGAACATGTCCAAAGGTTTGGTGTGTGTGCCCATCTGCAAATATTTATGCACAATATGCATGTAACCGTTTGTTACCATCCCTGGCGGGGGTTTGGAAACATCTAGGAACAAATGTCCACCATGATTTAGTGTGATCATCCTGATCATGCTATAGATGACAGCATGTTTTTTTTTTTAGCAAGAAAGTCTAGTAAAGTTTGTTAGCACATTAATGTAATCAATATTCATTATTCATCTTGTCTTATTTCTGCTTCACTGCAACCGTTAGTTCTTTGGTGATCTGTGCCATCAGTTTATTTTACACATGTTTGGTAATGTCTGATAAATACACAGTGGATTTGATCAACAAGCTAATATTACATTAATTGTTTGTCCAGTTGATAATTCCTTCCACTGGTGTCATAAATTACGTATAGAGGTACAGTAGTCACTTTAAGTTATGATTTACCAAGGTGACATGTTTGCACCTCTCTTTTTTCATGGATCAATACAGTTCTGAATGTTTAGGACATAAATGAGATTAGGGATTTCTAAAAATCCTTTACAATTTCTCTGGATTGAACCCATGTGTTATTGTTGACATCTAGTAAGAATGACATTTCAGTTGTTGCTCCACAAATAAATGTGTTTAGTAAATTGGTAATGTATTTAATATTTTGTTTATCTGATCTGTAATTCAAACTTTTATTTCTGTAGCGTTTAATGATTACAGCTCAGAGCTAATTAGGAATTCAACTAAAGTTAGAAGAAGTAGAAAGGTAGTTAAAGCTTATCTAGAGCCAATGTGCGGTCATTTTTATCCACTCCAGTTTCATAAATAAAGGCCATATCATAGAGTAACACACATTATAATTAACATAAACTAAATATATTACACCATCCAATCTTATTTACTTAAGCAACAAACTGCCAAAGTTTGGTTGAGGTTAGAGGACCGATATGTAGAGGAAGGGAGGCAGATGTGAGTTATGTGAAGATTTAATTGAGGGTTCACAAAAAACTGAGGCAGGAATCCAAAAATCCAACTTAAAAATGTAAAACAAACCAGAACCATGGAGACATCAGGGAAAACAATCACGAGGAGCCAAGGAAAGATGGGAAAAGATGAAGTAAGATGTAGTAGGACCAGGAACCAGCACCGAGGAACTGCACAAGGAGAGTATTTATGGTAGACTGAACAAAGAGAGGACTAACGAGCTGATTGGGAGCAGGTGTGAAGAAAGGAGTCTAGAAAGGAGCTAGGGAAAAGGAGACCAAGACAAGAAGGCAACAAATAAAAACCTAAGAACTCAAATATATCCAGAAAATACAACAAAATAGGAATAAAACTAAAAAACATGGAGCAAAGTAAAACATAACAGAACCAAGACCGTGATACAATCTGCTTTATATAAAAAGTAACATCCATTGAGTCAAAACATCACAGGTTGACAAGGGTAGTTTTAAATTGAACCAACTGCCTATGTTTATAATAATTAAATCAAAAAGCCTCCATCTTCAGCAAAAAGGAGCCATTTTATTTTATTTTTTGGGGAATTATTCATGTTGCTGTATTCCAAGTTTATTCGAATTTGCTGTAGTGTCAGACTTTAACCACTAGAGGTCGGCAATCTGCTCTTTAGTGTTTGCGTGGGGATGGAATGTAAAGTTAAACAGCTGCATGAACATAATTAACTATTGTAAGGAAAGTATAGTTTTTCTTTTAAAAATAGTGTCTGTGATGTATCTTCGTTGTATGTTAATTATTCCTTTGCATTGATATAATAAATTGATGTTTAGGGTGAAGAAAACTAATTTTTTTGCTTACTGACTGTTGATTTTTACGCAATGTAAAGGTACGCCCTCCATCCGAAGAGTCGGAACAGCTGGCTGAGGGATGCAGCTTCTCCTCCTCCTTCTCCTCCTCCTCCTCTCCGCCCTCCTCCTCCTGTGGGACAGCCTGCTCTCAGCTTCTCTCTGCTTCAGTTGACCAGCGTCGCAACTGGGCGATGCACCTTTAGAAGAGCCTCTGCAGATCATCTGTGGAAGATTAAAACAATTATTTGCCTCAAGCCTGTGTGAAAATCTTTTTTTTTTTCCTGTTTAAACTTTTTTCTCCCTTTTCTTTAGTGCAATTTTGACTCAAACTATTTCTTAGACAAGGTCTACTGGTTTAAAAGCCGAAAACTGACCACATTTATTATTTTTTTTCATCTCGGAAAGAGCCGGTTTCCAAGTGATAAGTCATTGGGATATGTTACAAGGAGAGCCGCACAAACAGGCTCGACTTGGATGAATTTTGTTCTTGAAGGCATCAACAGCATCTTCTGACAGGCTGCAGGAGCAACGGAGGCGCTGTTGAAAGGTAAACAATATGACTCCATTAATAACAAACAGGTAGCTCCCCTTTAAAATGTAAGATTAACACTTTAATTAATAGTTTACAGAGGAAGTTAGATCCATGCTTAGTTAAATATCTTAATTTTATCCAGTAGTTCTTTTAACCTCAAAGGATAAAAGCCAGAGAGCCAATAAAATGGAAAAAGGAAAGGTATTTTCTGTTTAAAAAAGTCCAATTATGTTCATTTTCTGTGAGTAAAAGATTTTTCATGAATATTTGGACACATTTTATTGGAGAAAGGTGTTAAACTTACAGATTCTTTTAAGAATGACAGTTATAAAAAAAATATTTTAATTCTTGCTGATCTTAAATTGGGAGTTCCACAAGCTTGTGTCCCTGGTTAACTTCTGTTGTTTTAAAGCAGAGGAGGTTTTTAGAGATTTTGTTAAACTTATAACAACATGGTTATAGTGAATATTAAAGGAATAGTACACCCAAAAAATGATTAGCCTTCATTTTCTACTCACCCCCATGCTGAACAACACTCTGGAGTACTTTTTTGATATCTCAAATGCATCTGGAGATCTGGGAGGCTTCTTGCTGTCTGCTGACATTCAAATAATGGAGGTCTATGGTGCCCGAGACAGAAAGGTCCATAAAAGTCCACAAAAAACGTTTCAATATTCCTCCATACTGCTCGTCCAATGTATTCCAAGTGTCCTGAGTGGGTAGCATCCAGAATTTACTCGAAACGAAGTCATTTAGAATGTTTTTAGAGCATAAACAGTAGTGTATAGGATTTCCTGAAAGCGCGCACCTGCGCGTTCACGACGCTACGGAAGCCGGCACACCAAACCGGATGAAAGTGCGCATTCAGCGTCTGCTCTGCCAATAATGCAAGCGTAGAAGAAGA